CTTTCCAAAGCTTTAGTGGTTAGTCTAATGAAGATTCACCATTTAAAAAAAGTTTTTGTAAAGGGAGAAGGAAGAACCCTTTGATCTGGAGTTTTTTAGTTTTTGATACGAGTCTAAAAAATGATTTTATACAACATCTTCCTGGATGACTTTTCGGTTTTGAATCTCTTCCCAGGTTTCCACACAAAATCTGCACTTCAAGCTTCACAAAGCGCTGCGCCTGCCAGGAAATCTGCATTTCATATACGTATACATATATATATACAATCAATTGCAATGGGTATGTATACATTTTCATGTGTGGATGGTCGTGGTGCATGTTCTATGTTCTTTGTTCTGCAGCTGAGCAGCTGATTGAATGTGATTTTTTGCATGATGGTCTAAGTTTCCAAAACCACATGGCACAGTGACATCACCTTTCCAAAGCTTTAGTGGCTAGTCCAATGAAGAATCACTACTTCAAAAAGTTTTTGTAAAGGGAGAAGGAAGAACCCTTTGATCTGGAGTTTTTTTCATTTTTGATACGAGTTTAAAAAATGATTTTATACAACATCTTCCTGGGTGACTTTTTGGTTTTGAAACTCGTCCTAGGTTACTGCACTAAATCTGCACTTCAAGCTTCACGAAGCGCTGCGCCTGCCAGGAAATCTGCATTTCATATACATATATATATACAATCAATTAATATTTGTGTGTACATTTTCATGTGTGGATGGTCGCGGTGCATGTTGTATGTTCTTTGTTCTGCAGCTGAGTAGCGTCAAATGCTAAGTGTGCAATTTTTTTTGCAGTTTGTGGCGCATGTTCTAAGTATTTTCGATACAACACATGTTCTTACTTTGAACTTAGAAGAGAATTTACTTGCATCTTTCCCAAAAAAGATTTTCACTTTGACTGCGTATATACTAACAGGTCCTGCGCATCTGAATTTACGAGCCTTTTAGCTTCCACGTACAGAGCATGACCAAACAAAGACCAGAACAGAGCAAAGGGAAGAAAAAGCTGAGCGCAGCATGTGGAACATGAACTTAGAACATGTGGAGCATTATTTCGGGCAAAACTTAGAACATCCGATCATCACATTACATGAATGATCCTATTTTAAGGTCTGGATGTTCTAAGTTGTGGCGTTTTATGATGTTCTAAGTTCCTATGTAAGATGTCCAAACGTCATTTTGATTTTTTTTTTCGAAAGTTTCACTCCATCACTATACATGCCTTTGCACTTTGTATGCGCTTGCTTTATTGGTCCTTCACGTCTCTTCTTTGAGTCTACGACGCTAACCGGGGCCCCGCGCGAAACCGCAATTTTTTCAATTTTTGGGGCTTGGAAGACGTTTTACATGTTGCGCAAGTAGACGCTATACATGTTGGGGCACATGCGCGGGGCCTCCGGTTTAGCTTCGCAGGCATACATACTGTGTTCATGGGGTGGGGGGTGGGCGGGGGAGAAAACTTCGAATCAGCGACCAGTGGTTCGAATCAGCGACCACGAAGAGGTTCGCCCCAAGCGTCAACCCTTCCAAAGGGGAAGAGGATCTTTCTAAGGATGTAGTAAAAGCACGCAAAGGGGTTCGCCCCAAGCTTCAATTATGCCAAAGGGTAAAATTACCATCCAAAGGAAAACAAAAGTACGCGAAAGTAGTGGTAAGGTTTGAGGACGCCTAAGCCGAAAAATTCGTCAATCCCTGATGAGAAACAATTGTGTTGGCGCAGACTGGGCGCAAGCCCTAAAAGTTTAGGGCTTGGCTTCTTTACGTGAACTTGATTGGGTTCGGTTTGGTTCAGGGCTGGCTTCTTTAGGCTTTGTTTTGGCTTGTTTAGGGTTGGTATAGGGCTTCACTTCTATCAGGATTGTTTTGGCTTTGTTTAGGGCTTGGCTTCTTCAGGCGGGTTTGCTTGGGCTTCGCTTAGGGCTTGGCTTCTTTGGGGTTTGTTTGTTCTTGGTTTAGGGTTGACTTCTTCAGGGTTTCTTTGGGCTTGGTTTAGGCTTCTTTTTGAGGTTTGTTTGTAGTTGGCTTGGGGTGAGCAACTTTAGGGTTTCTTCGGGTCTGGTTTAGGGCTTCGCCGCTCCAGGGTTTGTTTGGGCTTTGTTTAGGGCTCTCCAGTGGGTTTCTTGCTTCCGCCCGTTTCGGGTCGGTGGAGAGAACCCCGAATCAGCAACCAGTTGGTGACCGATTCGGGTTGGCGACCGATCCCTGGCGACCGGTGACCGATTCCAATTTCTTGGTGACCGAGTCCTGGTGTCCGATTCGGCGTTCTGGTGGCCGATTCCGGGCGTCCGATTCGTCCGCCGCCCAGATGGGGCGTATTAATGTATACGCTTGCGCGCAGCCGTTTCACACACAGCCGCCAACACGCAGCATACTACCCAACTTCGTCTTTCGTTGTGTCTCGGTCTCTTGTTGCGTTGAAGCCGGTCGTTTTCCGCTTTCGAGGACCACCCTGTGTTGAAGAGCTTTTGCGCAGTCCATCCGTGGGTTTTGGGCTCTGCCTTGGACCTTTTCACTTAACCATCTGATCCTCTGTCTGACTTCGTTTCAACCGCTGTTACCATCGTGGACAGGGCCCGTTGAACTGGAAAGGGGCTAGATAGTTGCTGTGGGTTCTTGTGGTCGACTTGGGTTTCGCACTTTTGCTTTAGAGACAGTCGTCGGACCTCTATGTTGGATCTTGCTGTGCATACGTACCGGCGCGACGTTTACTAGGTGTACATATACTCGTATGGGTCCTGGGACCATGCGTGTGACGCGTGCTCGGTCGTGGACTCCGCCGCGTGGCCGCATCGCTGCGTCGCCTGCGACTCCAGAATATGGTTGGTAGAATGAAGCAGCTTGGTGACGATTGGATTTTAAGAAGCTCATGTTTCTTTGAACACCACGCACGCCGCCAGGCATCCGTGGCCGGCGCGCAAGCTTTGGACAATTTCTGGAAGCTCTTGGAAAAATCCATGCCCAAGTCTTTGCGCGCTCGTGAGACGGAAGCGGATGCCAGGGTGGTGTCGCAAAGGCTCTGGAGCTATGCCTACAGCTTTCAGTTTTGCTGGAACGCGCAGGGCGATCTTTGGAAGGAGGTTGGCCGGTTGATCCGCTGAAGAAAAGAAGCGTCGCTTTCGCTTCGGCCCTTCTCGCAATCCACTTCTTTACCCGAGGGACCCTGGCGCGCCGCGTGCCTTTTATACTGGGCCTGCCAATACAAAACCACCGTGACCTCTCAAGAGTATATGTCAAAAGCCACAAAAAGCTCAGCATTTTTACCGCTTTGCGCTTGATGTCTTCCAATGAAGCGTTCATTCTGCCCGGGGTTTTGGTTGGCGTCGATGCCTTGTTTGAGAACTGGCAAAGACGTCGGTCGACGCGTGAGACATGCAAAGAGCCGATGCGTTACATATGGTCCGCATTGAATGACATCTGGAGGAGTTGGAAGCAGAAGCTTTGCGGCTGCAAATTCAAATGCGCGACCGAGTCATCGAGGAACTTCCCGGGTGCCTTTTTTTCTTTTTCCTTTTCTTTGTTTAAGAAACCGATGGCCCCCAACCTGATAGCAATGGCGCCCATAGTAGCGATGGCCTCCAACCCAATAGCGATGGCCTGCAACCTAGAATCTTTGTGCGCCGACCCACGCTAGAGAGGTAGGTCACAAGATGTGCGCTTGAGTTTTCTTCCACCATGAGGAGCAAGACCAACTGCTGCAAGCGGAGGGAAAGGCGCCTGTTTTCCACTTTGAATGTTTTTCCTGAATGCGTAGCGAAGGGTTCTCGTTTAACTCTGGGGGTCTGGGGTAGAGCCTTGTTCGCGACTCGTTGTCTGAGCGACCGCAACCGTTGTCAACCAACCGCCGCCGTTCGCAATAGAGCGCTAAGGCGCTACCATTGGGGGAAGCTTTTGGAGGGGTTTTGCGTGGAAGCGTGACGGGCCAGATTCGCGTGAAATAGCGAGGAATCGTGAGGAAACGTAAGATGTTGAAGTGTGGAGGATGATTTCACTGCGCAGGCGCAGTGTTTTGTGAGATCCGCAGTTTTCTGTGTAGTCGCAAGGATTGGCGTGGATGTGGCTGTGACATTGGGATTTGCGTTTAGGGTGTTGCATCGAAGCTCTGTTTTCGTGTCTTAGCTGAAATGGCGATTTTGGTGGATGGGAGTGTGCTCAGAACGTGTCGAAACCAATCCAAACGTGTGGTGTGGTGCAAATTTGTTGAGGCTCACATGATATGATATTGTCACATTGCCACTTTTCGTGGCAGGCGCAGTACTTTGTGCGGGTTTTGAAGTGTGGAAGTGCGATTTTTGTGGAGGCGGCGCAAGGAATCGTGAGGTTGCAAGGTGTGGCCGAGGTCACATTTTGTGGCAGGCGCAGTATTTTGCGCGTGTTAGACGGGACACGTAAATTTTCGTGGCAGGCGCAGGGCGTTGTCTGGAGGGGCTGGAATCGCGAAACTGCTTGGCAGGGCTGCTTGATGTGTGTGCTCCGACGGGGCTTCCCGCTTGACTTTTGGAGGAAGTCTCGTACGAAACGCTCGTTTTGGAGACCTTGACATGTGACTTTGGAGGAATCTCGTACGAAACGCTTGTTTTGCAGACTTGACGCGTGACTTTTTGGAGAAATCTCGAACGAAACGCTTGTTTTGCAGACTTGACGCGTGACTTTTGGAGGAAGTCTCGTACGAAACGCTTGTTTTGCAGACTTCAAGTGTGAATTTTGGAAGAAGTCTCCTGCGAAATGCTCGTTTTGGAGACTTGACATGTGACTCTTGGAGGAAGTCTCGTACGAAACGCTCGTTTTGCAGACTTGAAGTACAACAATCTCCGACAGAGTGTCCTACGAGAGTGTCCCACAAGTGTGACATACAAGAATGTCCCACAAGATACAAGACTGTTTCGCAAGAGTGTCCTACCAGAGTGTCCCACAAGAGTGACAAACAAGAGTGACCCACAAGAGTGTCCCGCAAGAGTGTCCCACAAGAATGTCCTACAAGAGTGTCCTACAAGCGTGCTCCACAAGAGTGTCTTACAAGAGTGTACCGCAAGAGTGTCCCACAAGAATGTCCAACAAGAGCGTCCTGCAAGAGTGTCCCACAAAAGTGTCCTACAAGAGAGTTCCGCAAGAGTGGTCCACAAGAGGGTCCTACCAGAGTGTCCTATAAGAGTTTCCTACAAAGGGAGTCCCACAAGAGTGTCCTACAAGAGTGTCCCACAAGAGTGTGCCCACAAGCGTGCCCAAGAGTGTCCCACAAGAGAGTCCTACAAGAGTGTTCCGCAAGAGTGTCCTACAAAAGTGTTTCGCAAGGGTGCCCCGCAAGAGTGAGTGTCATACAAGAGTGCCCCGCAAGAGTGACAAACAAGACTGTCCCACAAGAGTGTCTCGCAAGAGTGTCCCACGAGAGTGTCCTACAAGAGTGTCTTGGTATAAAAGAGTCCTAGTTACAAGAGTGTTCCGCAAGAGTGCCCCACAAGAGTGTTTTACGAGAGTGGCCCACAAGAGTGACATACAAGAGTGTCCCAAAAGAGTGTCGTACAGGGCTGTTTCGCAAGAGTGTTCTACAAGAGTGTCCCACTAAGAGTGACAAACAAGAGTGTCCCACAAGAGTGTCCCGCAAGAGTGTCCCACAAGAATGTCCTACGAGTATCCTACAAGAGTGCCCCACAAGAGTGTCGTACAAGACTGTCCCACAAAAGTGTCCTACAAGAGTGTCCCACAAGAGTGTCCTACAAGAGTGTTGCGCAAGAGTGTCCCACAAGAGTGAGTGTCATACAAGGTGTCGCGCAAGAGTGCACGAGAGTGTCCCACAAAGGTTTCCGAAAAAATGTGTCCTACAAGAGTGTCCCACAAAACTTGGGTGTTTGTTTTCGAGTACGTGTTTGCATTTGGGTTCGTGGGCTCCATCTTGTTCTAGAAATGGAACAATGTCCAGAGTCACTAACAGCATTCGAGGCAGAGTTTCTTTTAGCTTGAGAGTTTCCAGAATCCAGAGAGAGTTCTTTGGTAGGCCCAACTTGCAAAGCCTGACGGATGGATCAATGTCGTGGTTGCTTGGACAGACTCTGACTGGGAAAACGCAGTGCTTGACTGGCCACGATTCTAAGAAGCCCGAGAGCGCTTTGCAGTTGCTCTTTTTCATGACTTTTCGCGCTGCGTCATTCTGAAGGTCATTTTGAGCCAAAACTCTGTCAATCGAAGTGAAGATCAATTTGAGGCAAAGCCAGCCCGCCGAGCTCCAAGCACAGTTCGTTGGCTGGAGGAGGAACGCTGTGTTTTTTTTCTCTTCGGACAGAAAGAAGAAGAGAGACGCTTTGTGTTTTCCATTTAGGCCTAGTGTGAGGAACTAGTCGGTAGCAAGAGAAGCCACTACATGCAAGGACGGAGGAGACCCCTTCGTGTGATGCACATGAACATGGTTTCTAGATTTTGAGGAGCACTAAAAAAAGTCTTTGGACGGACTAGCATTGCAACTTAGCAAGTTTGAGCCACACTTGTGTCTTACAGTCTTTCAGTGCTTCATTTCTGGTAGACGTCCCAAGTTTTGTCCTTACAGCAGTTTTGGTCCAGGACGACCTTGGTCTGGATGACTCTCCACTAGCGAGGTTGGTCCCAGAGCCATTCTGAATTTCGCATTTTTGTTGAACTTGAAGTGACTAGCTTTGTCGAAGTAGAAATGTAACTTGTCCCTCAGGGCCTACAGATTTCTTGGGAACGTTGAGCTGTTTGGCCGACACAAAGGTCCTCAGGACTGGATGTTGCTTGACACGTGTTGTTCACTCTGAGGCGACGCCATGGCAGTGGTCGTGGATACGGAGAGGGCCTTGGACGGAGCTTGGTATTCAAAGTTTAAAAGAAACATAGACATATATAGATATTTTTAACAAATATGATATACCCCAAACGGTTCACTGTTGCAGTTCTCTAGAGCTGGCCACATGGCCACAGTCTCTGGCCGCCTCCTCTTGTCCTCGTAGTGTCCTCCTGTTGTCCTCCTGGTGCTTTAGGTTCGTGCACGTCCAGTCCCTATGATATGCCCTTTTGGCTTGCTCACTTCGTTCGTAGTTTGCCGGTTAGTGTCTCACTGTGGTCAGGCATTAGCCCGGGCCTGCGATCGTGCAGCTTGAAGAGCAGAAAGTAGTTTACTGTTAGGGTTCTCTCTTAGGAGAAAGAAGCTGGCCACAGTCACAGGCCGCCGATGAATGCTGTGTCCCGGTGTTGTCCTCATGTTGTCCTCTTCTTGGCGACCTGTCGTCCTCTTCTTGTCCTTCTTCCAGCTTAGCGCGGCCGCCAGCCCGTCTCCAGTCCTTGTCCTTTTGTTGTATTCTTTTTGTCCTCTCCTTGCCCTCTCCTATTCCTCCTCTTGTCCTTCTGTTGTCCCCTTCTTGTCCTCCTGTTGTCCTCCCTTTGTCCTGCTCTTGACCTTTGCTTGTCCTCTTCTTGACTTCCTTTTGTCCTCGTGTTGACATCTGCTCCTTTTTGTCCTTTGTTTTTCCTCATCTTGTACTTTTCTTCCCGTGTTGTCCTTTTCTTGTCCTCCTGTTCTTGGTGTTCTGGTGGTGTCCACATGGCAGCATGGTAGCATTTTACTTACATGACACCATGACAGAGCGCGCGCGAAGCACCGTCACCAAGAATGAAAGGGTCCAATTTGAGAAAACAAGTGCGCATGCGCGGCGAGAAGACCGCAGTACCGCAGCATGTCCATGTGTCAGCCTGTCAGCCTGTAAACATGACAACGTGCAAGCGTGCCTGACAAAGAAGCTAGGCAGCAGCAATACAACTCAGAAGCCGATGTCCTCTCTTTTTCCTCTCCTGGTCCCCCCTCTTGTCCTCTTCTTGCGGGGTTCTCTCAGACGAAACAAGAAGTTCAGGCCGCGCCGGTATGCCCTATACCCTATACCGATGTCCTCTTCTTTTCCTCTTGTCACAATGTTTTCGGTCCTCTCTTCCTCATGTTCTTCTATTACCTCCTTGTTCTCCTTCATCAGCCGCGGCTGCCAGCCTATTTCCACTTGTCTCCTTTTGTTCTCCTCTTGGCGTGCTCCCCTCATGTTGTCCTGTTGTGTCTTTGGCGTTGTCCGTCACAGGTTGTCTTTTGTTGTGTTGTGTCTTTGTGTTGTTTTCCTTTTCTCATCCATTTCTCCTTTGTTGTCCTTTTCTGGTCCTTCTGTTGTGTTGTCCTAATGTTGTGATGTTTGCATTGCTTTCCGAGGCTGTGGCTGCCCATCACAACAACAATTCTTGCCGACTAAGCTGTTTGGGGTCTATGCTGGTATATTTTTGTTGCTATTTCTTTGGGGGGGCCAGGCCGCTAAGAAGGAGATAGGGTAATAGGGTCTGCAGGGCTTGGGAAGCTTGGAACTTAAGCAGAGCCCGGCAGAGCCCCCAAAGTTCATGACAAATATGTCTTAAGGTGCCTTGGGCTTTTTTGCGGACCAGCCGAGAGATTTTCCGTTCTTGCCCCAGTGGCCGGCTTCGCTTGCATCAGAGTGTCCACCATTGCCGATCGTCCCAGCTCATTCAAATCACACGGGATCGTAGGACTAGATGGCCTCCATCCTAGTAACGATAGCCTCCAACCTATTGGATCCTCATTCAAGACAGGGAATGCAGTACAGCAGCGGTTCCGACTCGAAACGCGCCAGCAGGCACACCAAGGATATAATGTCCACAATTGAAAGAGAAACTGAGATATGTGAAGCAAACTCATTTTAAAACTACTCGGTCAACAGAGAATGCTGTCGCAGTTGTTTGGTCCCTGACTTGGCGTTTTTGGTTTGTTGAAAAATGATCCCCGCACCTTGACAACGGGCCTTTGCACACCAAGGCCTGAACCACCGTCAGCCCGAGAGCGACTGCACGGCACTCGGTGATCCACCAGGACGATACAATCCGTGTTATGCTGCAGGTTTCGTAGCTGTGAAATTGTAACTTGTTTGCCACAACGAGTGGGACACGGAATCGTCCCATGCACTATGTACTTCACATGGCGGCAGAACATGCATCCTGGCAACATATCCAAGTGAGCTCCTACAGTCAAGCAGGAACAACAGAAACCCACTCAAGACAGACAAACACACAGCAAAGAACAGACAGAAGAGTAAGTCGTGACCCTGGAAACTAGGGTGGTGAGCAATGGCCCGAAAAGTAGGAGGAGCACAGGGACCAGCGGCATCGCAAGGCACAGCATCTATCTATATACAGATACACACTCAAACCTTTATTCTGCACCTTTCAAGAATGGACATGCAAATTCACCGCGTACATTGAGCTAGGGACGATCACTACACCGAAGTACCGCAACAAGGAGACAAGCCAGAATGTTGACTTGGTGGCAGCCGGTTCTTGAAGCGAGGAAGGTAAACACCTCATGCAAGAGCACACCAGGCATCAAAAAGACACATCTTTTTATGGCGTGGAGATGTCAGACGTGGCAGTGAGCTCATCAGATGAGGCTGACGCATCTCAAGAATTCCAAAACCCCAAGCCACAAAACGAGGGCAGCAACAAGAACAATAACAAGAGCAAGGACAAAAACAAGAACAACAACAACAACAGCAACAACAACCAGAACTGAAGAGCAACTAAGGGTAGTACGTCCATCAACAGTAGTTGACAGCAACATTCAAGAAGACAAAGGCCAGGCAAAACAACAACACGACAGTCAAACAGCTGAGTGAGACGCAAGGCAGACAAAACAAACTGATGCCACTCAACACTGACAGGACACATCGAATACGAGAAGAACTACAACGCCACAACATAAGTGAAGTCATACTTGCAGTAGGTTAGATTATATGAATTGATTCCACAATCCACTCGGTCACAAACCTTGCCATGACAGGGTTTGCTTACTGAAGCCAAACTAGCGAGGACTGAAAGGAAGATGATGAGCTAAAAGAGCGAAAAGAGTAATAGAGAAAAGCTGAGAGGAAACATTGCAAAGCTAGCTAGACAATGAAGAGGCAATAGAAGGCAGGGACCCAAATCAACATGAAAACGAATGCAGCATGCAAGTTGAAGAAGAAAGAGGAGAACATTTTGAGACAGAGATAGAAATACACGCCAAAGAATAGCGAGAAAGGAAAGAGAGGAAGATAATGCATAGTGACTAGTGTGAGGGCTTCTTCAACAAAGCTCCCACCACCCTCGAGTGGAAGCCCGTCCTTTCCTGCGTCATAGCTAGTAGCTCCTTAAGCTTAGTAGTTACCCCTTACTATGTTACCGTTACGTCATTCTGAAGACAAATATCAACACACAAGTGCGATTCAATTGTCTCGCTCCGACCATTCTCAGGCCAGACAGGGCGAGGAACAAATCAGGCCGTATTCAACAGCGAGCGTTGCATGCAATGGCTGCTATGGCTGACAATGGAGGAAAGCCCGCAACAAAAGGGTTCTGTTCTGCGTTGTTTGTTTTCTAGTTCCTGTTCTAGCACAGGATTCCCTCGTTCGCATCAAGTGATTTTTGGACAGGTGGAACGCCGCCTGCTTCCAACAGCTTCTCCAGCGCTGAGTTTGGCGAGGCAACTACAGTCAGCTGAGTTCATTCTGTTTTGCACTTTGTTGGAGGGTTGGCTTTGGATGTTTTGCCAGATGCATACTGCACATGCACACATTCTGCATGGTGTTGCAGATGGCAAGGAGCAATGTCTCGGGGATGGGGAATCGCCAGCATTTTCTTCCCTGCGACACGTTGCTCTCGTGCCACAGGCGCGCCCGTTGGACGTGGCTGGCAGAGGTCTTGGCCCACCCAGGTGCCTTAGGTTCAAACCAGTTCTTAATGGAGTAGAGGACGCTACTAGGAACAAAGGGCATCGCGACTAGGAGCAAGGACGCTACTAGGGGCTCCTGGCCTTACTACTAGGAGCAAGAAGCTACTAGGAGCTTGACCAATCTGAATACCTGGCAACAAACAGCGGCAGTGCTAATAAGTTCGCCTTTCCAAATCTTCAAGTGCTGAACACAGCTACTGAAGAACTAGGCCTGCCGCTGCAGAAGAGAAAGAGGCAGGAATCAACATGCTTCTTGGGTTGGACAGTTTCACTGCCTTCATGCTGAGTCACGATGATTCGCCGCGTAGAAATCATGGAAAAAGCTCCTAGTGGCGAACATTGCTCCTAGGAGTAAGGCCAGGAGCCCCTTGCTCCTAGTAGCGATGCCCTTTGCTCCTAGTAGCGTCCTCTCCCCGGTGATGATCCGAACCTTTCAAGACTTGTGCGAGTTTTTTGTCACCGGCCTCCAGCATTGGTGTTTTGAACATCCCATAGCATGGCTTGAGGTGTGTTTGAGTTTAGGGCGTGTATCGGTTTGCAGGTTTCTCTTGCCCGTGCAGCTGATGTTGAAGGTGCTGCGCAATACTGGGAGGAGGAACAGAGGAAACGTTGCTCATGGACGACTTGCATTTGCTCAAGCTTTTGCCATTTTTCTGCGGTTGATTTGTGAGTTTTCACCTTGAAACTTTGATCCTTGAGGTGATTTGGATCCTCGCCTGCCGGTGGTAGAGGACACGGGTGGAGGAAAAATCGTGGACAAAAACAGTAGCACTGTAATGCCCATGAATTTCTGTCCGTATGTGGATATTTACACATGAGTATTTGGTGCCTGGCAATCGGCTGCATAGTGGGCCAGTAAGAAGGTTTAAGCATGTTTTGCCACATTGCATTTTGAACATGACGGGTAGCGATAAAGGAAGTTCACCAAACCATGAACATACGCTTGCCGGCTTTTTGTTTAAAGGTGCTCCATTGCTATTCGTTTGATTATTCAGCTTTTTGTACTTGATCTCTGAATGTGAGTTATGTCAGACTTTTGGCTTTGTGTATGGTACTACTGTACTTGTACTCAGCGTTTCACTTTCATACCTAGCATGACTTCATCTGTATGCTTAGTTTGCTTTGCCATCCCACACAACAATCCTGTATTCTTGAAACGGCCAACGCTCTTACGCTGTCCGTTCTGGTAAGTGTTTGAAGGTTTTCATGTTGCCTACTTATGTCTCAACACGCACTCAGATTGAAACACCTTTGTGTGGGAAGATGCAAAATGCATCGTTTCCGGAAAAGCTTGCCACGCTGGCAGGGCCAAAACCTGATGGGTGCAGCGCTGAACGGCTGGAATCTCAGCGGTTTCAAGATAGGAGGGTAAGTTATATAGATTCGTTTTGCAAGTGCAGGAGCTACTTTCCCGCCAAGATTTGTTGCTGCGCAGTATTTACTGGTCACTGATCCTATTCCGACTCTGCTGTATTTGATCGCAAAGGAATTGACAGCACCGAGTGAACAGAAAATCTCAACGCATCAGATGCCGTTTTCGCAAACGGTGGCTTGAGGAAGAAACCATTGGATCCGTCAGGAATGATGCGGCATGTTGAAACGAGGGGCATGCACGATGCTAGTCTGCTGGATGCTTGCTTGAGAGGTCCCTCCATACCAATGAGGAAACAAGGGTCGGGATGAGTTGGTCTAAGTCTATATGGAGAAAGATAAATCGTGAACATTGACGAAACAAGAGATAAGAAGCAGGTAAGCAGGTTGGATTGACAAGAGTTAGATTTGTCTTTGGAATGACAGGACAGGCTTGAGAGGCTCACTAAAGAAATGAGCTGGTCACAGGCTCGATCAGATGAGGTATATTTTGTAATGAACAAATCAATAAATAGATATGATATTATTAATCTTGTAAATAAACCCAATATGCATACTTAAATACACTCACACCCTTCAAAAAAATACCTAGGTGAAAGAGAAAGCTTTTGGGTAAGAGGTTTTGTTCGATTGAAGCAGGCAGCTGCCAAATACTTCTCCTAGCTTAAACAAGCAAGTGAAGGAATTATTTTCCTCTCCGCAGCAGGGGAGGCTTGATTGCGAGGAGGGTTGCGGTTGTGGAAAGGGGGTGAGGTAAGAAAGGTGCCTGCAACTATTTTTTATAGTTTATGAAGCAACAGGAACGTTTTTGATTCAGCACACGCACACATGGACGGACGGACACGGTAGAATTTCGGCCAGACAGGCCAGATTCACAGGCGAAAGCTCGATTGAGCGAGAAGAGGCAGCAGAAGGGGGGGGTCAGTAGTGTCTCCATTATCCATTGTTTCCTACAAAGGGGTCCTCGTCACCCTTTGACGTTTGCCAGTCGGCAGGCTTCAGGTATTCTGGCCCAGGCTAGTTGTGACAGGACTAGCAGACTGGCTCTTGATATCAGAAGCGACCGCAAAGATTGTGTGAGCGTCAAAAGCTTTGTGCAACCATCAACCTTTCCTAAATTGCTCGTCCAGAAGGCATCATGTCACAGAGGTAGTCCGATGCAGGTAGAACAATGTCTTTCCTGTGCAAGTTGCGCACGAAGCACTGGTGGACACTTGCAAACAAAGAGTTGCTGGACTTCGACTAGCAGCGTGCTGCTGATCAAACGTATTTTTGTCCGCAACAAACGCTCCCTCCTCTTTGACCATCATGTCCACTTGGCAGCGCTCCAACGTTTGTGAGCATGTGCCTTTTTACCTCGCAGCAGAGGATGCCTTACAGAACAAAAGGCTGGCTTGATATTGATGACCATGCATGACGCAAACGCCGCAGGTTCTTGCAAGTGAGGGTGTTGTGCCTACAGCAGCTAGTCATCAATTTGAACTGGCTGACACTTGGTTGCTGCAAGTCACCTCTGGACTCCGCTCGGGTGGATGCCGGATGTCAGAAGCTCAACATGCCAGGCTCGAGCGCCTTGAGTACTTATTATTATTTGTTCCTTACTTCCTGCAAGGGCAGATGCCTCCTTCGAATCCTTGGGCATGCCGCCAACATGAGATTGGATGACATCGATGGTTTTTAGAGCCCACCCCGAACCTCGTTACATGAAGTCTCCTCAAAAAAACGAGAGTGAAAAGCTGAAGCCCTTGGAGCCAGAAAAGGACCAACCTCGTGCAACGCAACCTGAAGTTAGGATCCTGAGCAACGCCTGCAGTGCAATGCCAGTCCAAGCACGCGGGCCGCGTGCAAACTTGCGCCTTCCTTTGGCCCTCGCTTTTTGTGATTGATGAGATTGTCCGCTCGCCCTGGGAAGCTAGTGGGATGCCCTGGGGCCTGCTAGTTGATTTTAGTGTCATGAAGTTTGATCAGGTGAGTACTGTTGGCAGGTTTGCAGTTCCGAAAGATGAAAAGTGTAACAGGTTGGTTTTGAATCCAAACGTTATTGTGAGTCCTCGTTGCTATCTCAGCTGGCAGATGATGAGCAGCTTATCTGCTCGCCACTTTACTACACCTTCAAGGTCTCCAGCAGACGAGCCAGACGCAATGCCAATGGAGTTTTTTTCAAGGCCGAAGAAGTTTCCCATCTGTCTTGTTTTGATAGACGTGTTACATATCATGGCGATCGATCCTTTTGTTTACTTGGCTATATTGGCAATGAGAGACACCTTGGCAGTGGAGATCGCTCAGCAGCCCCATGGGAACTTGCTGAAAGAGAGGGCAACCTGCCACGCTCCCAACCCGGGAAGCGTCAACGAAGGGAGTCACATGTTAAGTTACTGTCCTTAGTAATGAAACACACGGACTGCGCGGCAGTGTTTCGGCTTCCTGAGCGAGGATCGCGACGCTCTGCTTCATCACTTCAGTCAGTGTGCGAAAGGGATGGGTTACAAAGAAGCTCCTCCAAGAGGATTCGCGGTTTCGAGAGGACTTGGTTTTCGCGTGTCAACGCAGCGTAGTGCAGAGTTGACAGATGTCCCTTTGCTTCCTGGTGCCGGCAATTCAGACCGACATTGGCCTGGTACAACTCCGATTTGCGTGTTGGACGCTTCACCACGTCGGCGGGGACGTTTGCGAAGCAGCCACGCCGACTAATGCAGTAGATACATTTCGGAGCCACTGAGAACAGATGGGTTTGTACGCGACATTGCAGGTTTCCAGCATAGCAAGTTGTTTGGTGAGCCTCCGCAGATGGTCGCTTCGGTCCGGGAGTGGCGTGCAGCCGCCGTGTTGACTTGACAGATTCGATCATAAAAGAGCAGACTTGATTCGCAATCAGGGCAGCATTTGTTTTATCACTAGTCATGGGTTCCATTTCTTGTGGGCAGCCGGGGTCCCGGAGGGCTAGTCATTTTTCTCCTGCAAGTGTTTCAAGGACTTCTGGACGCTGGCTGCGCACTCACTAAGTTCTCTTTGTGCTCATTTGGACCCGGGTTAAGCCAGCAAGTGGTTGCGCTACAAACATTGGTACAAGAGTTCAGTGCCCATACCATTCAAGTGTGCTCGCAAGAGCATTACATTCAAGAAGCGCCGCTTTTTCTTGTCAATTTGTCGGTGACTTCTGGTCGCCGCATCTTAGTCTTAGACCTGAGTTCTCTTGTGGGTGGTGTGTTGCATTGGCTCTTCTCGAACGAGTTTTCAAGGTTTTGTAACGCAGTATAGTAAGGTTGGAAGCCGGCGTGTGCGTTGTGCTTGATTTTTCATTTGTTGTGACATTGTTCAGCATTGATTTGTTCTGTGCTGCTCGGACTTACTTCGACTACTTCAATTTGTTGACAGCCCTTTTGCCTGCTTGGATTTCGATTTTGCCCAATCGGGCACCTTTGCAAAGAGCGGCAAAAAGAGCGTGGGAAAGGTATTAAAAAATAAGTAAAAATAGTTCATTAAAGTTGACACTCAACTCGAAACAGAGGTTGGCTTAAGAATGAAGAGTATTCAGGCGTTGGAGAACCGCGCAGTTCAATTCACAAACGGATGCTTGCGTTCAACGAACTAATGAGGTGAGAGTACTCCGACTGAAGGCGGAAGTTGTACTTGGCAAGTGGACACCTTGATTCTTTCAAACCCAACTACCAGTCACGGCAAAGGCACGCGTTGATTCTCCATATTTGCTTTCACGGTATTCCGCGATGGGCATCAGAACTTTCACATGGCCCGCTGCAAAGGCCTGGGGAGAGACGTTGCTCCTGAGATCACAAAAAGGTGTGGCCTTGTGCGTTGTCCGTTGTCGCTAGCTCCTAGCCTTCATCGTTGGATCGAAAGGGAAACGCCAATCAGAGAAGACACTGACGTGTCATTTTGTGCGCTGCAATCTCAAGTTCCTGCCACTTTGGAAAACCATGATTGATTATCATGTGTATCTTTCGGTGTTGTTCTCGATAGTTTTCGGTGCCCAAAAGTGCTACAAACCGTTTCAGTATGGTGCGATTTTTCTTTGAACGATTTGGACACTTGGGAAGGAGAACTATATAATCCTTGATTCATTGATTGTTTCAATCAAACCTGCTTGAGAATGCAATTCACCTTGCAGCAGGCCTGCACGTGGCCGCACTGGTCGCAAACGCCAACCCAAAGCCGGGGGCGCAAACAGAGTGACCAATGAAGACCTATCGCGAATGTCTCAGGACTCGAAGTCTAGAATGCAACACTACAAATTTTCAATAATTGTACTTTTTTTCGGAGAGTTTGCAAAGGGTTAAACAAAATACAAAGCATAGACATGAACTTTTGGGGGATTAAGGTTTAACTGTTCAGTTAACCTTTGCTCTGACATTTTTGATTGGTTTGTGGCAGTTGTGTCGAATCAGCATCATAGTCTTGAATTTTTTGTTTTGCATTGAACACACAAACACTTTTCCTGAACTTCTCCCACTGCATACTGGCAGGCGGATCGAGAGGTTGAGCGGCCTTTGCAGTTGCAGGTGGAGGCTTCTTGGCTGGTGGGGAAGTTCGAAGAAAGGCAAGTAGGACACCCTTCGGCTGAATCGGCAACACAAGACCAGCAACGCGAGTGGAAACGACTGCATAGACAAGCTTAAAAGTGTGTTTTGTATTTTGTATATATGTTTCTTTTTTTATATATATATGCTATTGTATATACCCAAGAAAAGCCTTGAGCGAAGCTTCGGAACTATAGACAAATGCAGCTGGCTCAAGCAGCATGTTGGTAAGGTGCAGAAGGTAGCTAAGAGGTAGCGCGACTGCTTGACAACCATTTCACTTGTTCATCATCTTGCCGTGGGTTGGATGTGGCAAGACACTGATGATCAAGAACAGGGGCGCCAGAGTCACTTCCCACCTTTGATGGCTGTGCCAGGCTGCCAGGTTCAATCATCCCCTCCAACACGACAAATCACCAGATAAATTACTGCATGTCACCACAACGTTGCCTTAGGCCTTACATCGCCGCACAAAAGAAAAATTACTCATCGGCGCAGGTCATGCAAAAAATGTCCCTCGTGCCACCAACAAAACCACGCATTGGCACAAATAAAAGCCACAAGTCCAGGCATTATATAATTACACAAGAAGCTACTAGGAACAAGTGCATCGCTTCTAGTAACAAGTGCCTTACTAGTAGTAACAAGAAGCTACTAGGAACAAGTGCATCGCTACTAGTTACACTTTGCTTGGTGTTTGTTTTCCTCCCGTTGGATGCAACACGACTCTGTCGGAGAATTGTGGTCGATGACAAAGTTATGGACATGGTCGGAGGTCTACACTCCTTGAAATAATCATTGAAGTGCCCCTTGGCTGACCATTTTCCTCCACAAACAGGTCCAGGTGGTTTAGACAGTTCTATATACGTATTTTCTGGGTGTTATAATTGTTATATATGTAAATAGACATTTCTTTTGATATATTTTTCATTGGTTGACAGTTTTGCTGTTAGCAAACTACCCCCAGACACATTTTGAATCCTTCCATAACATCCCGTGTTTGGTTGTAAATGTCAAGTTGATAACGCTCAGAACATGCTGACTGTTGGTGCGCACTAGATAGAGTGGTCGTCAGATGACAATGAGTTGAATTGATTTCATGTGTTTTTGAATCCTTTCATAAAAGCCAAAAACTGACCACGCGCCAAACTAGGTTTTTGGCCACCATGTTGCTTGTTTTGGGTATTTGAAGCTTGACCCTATGGAGTCCAAGCTGCACATCAGTAGCTAGATGGTGTGGAACAAGTAAGGCTTCTGCTCTTCGTCGGGACCCAGGACCAGAGGACAGCCAAGGCAGGGATACTTTTGAATTTGATCGAATCATCTCAAAGAGACTCTGAGAAAGACCTGATAGATATCCAAGCCAGTTCTTGATTGTTGGATCTCCCAGTCAATTTTGCTCTCTGAAAAGCTGTGTCTGCATCTCAAGCTGTGAGTCTCTTTGTCTGGAGACTTGCAGCCCTTCAAATTATTGTGGTAGTGTGCCAGCTTTTGCTCTAGGTCGTCATGGGTTTGAGCGCAGTTGTTCATATGTTTGTTTTTTGTTTGTCTAATTATATACAGTAATTGTTTGTCTGTCTGTCTGTCTGTTTGTTTATTTGTTTTGTTTTTGTTGCATGTTTGTTTGATTGTTTGTTTGTCTGTCTGTTTGTAGGTTTGTTTTTTGCGTTGTTTTCTTTTGTTGTGTTTTTTGTTTGTATGTTTTTTTGTCTGTGTCTGTGTCTCTGTCTCTGTTTGTGTCTGTGTCTCTGTTTGTTTGTTTGTTTGTTGGTTGGTTTGTTTGTTTGTTTGTTTGTTTTACCTGGTTTGACGGGTTTGGCAGCCCCGTTTTTTTTCATTATATTATGTGCTCATCCTAGCTTGTACTCATTACTGTATATGCTTTGTCATGATCTTTGCTAAAGACAACAATGTAGCTTCAGGCTTAGCCGGTTACTGAACTGACCCTGCACTGGAGTTGAAGCAGTTTGTGCATTTGGTAGGTTCAGGTTCTGAGCGCGAACATGCAAGTTCGGCATCGTGCGGTCCCTTCACATTTTTTCTCCGGAGCACACGTTTGTTTGCCAGCTTGTGAAGACTGATGTCGGAGTGGTTCATAACGTGCTTCTAAGGCCACATCCAGTTGTTAAGGATGCGCATGGCTCAGTGTCAGTGCCCACCGTGATCCGCGTGATCCGGAGCTGGGCGTTCTGAAAAGTCAGCCTGAAAGTCTAGTGTTGTGGTTCTTCTATGTCTGTTCCGTGGTATCATATACATATATATATATATATTCTTTTTTCCACGTCATATATATATTGTCATATATGTATACTTATACATTGCACATGTATTCTCCTCGTGGACACGCAAAGCCAATGCGCCCTGAGGTGGCTGCAGAGCGGCGAGGCGGCGGTTGTGTTCATTCGATAGCTTGTTTTGTGAAACCTAGCTCCATGGAACGCTCTTCGAGTACAGACAAGAGTAGCAAATTGGTTGAGCTCACCTTCTCAGAGGCCTGCTTTCCAAGCTCAGCAAGCGAATGAAGTCAGTGGAGAACGCTTCTGTCCTTCAGCTCAATTCACGGTCGTAGTGGCTGCTCTGTGGACTGTCAGGGTGTATTCGGAGTCCCTTCCATTCCAGCCAAGGCTAAGGACATGTACTGAAAGCCTGACATGCGTCAATGAAGGAGCTTGAGCTCATGGATTTGTTCAAGCGAGCCCAAACCCGTAAGTTCCCACAGTTTGAGGATTATTTACGTGGCGTTCACCCATCAAACTTGAACAAGTCCTTGTGGCAGACATTTAGAATGATCTGCCCTGTAGCATAGCCTAGATGGCCCTAGCTGGTTCAATACGAACATGTAATGAAATGTAGTACCAGATTGATCCGGTCAGGGGCTGTGGGCATCTGAGCAAAGTTTCACTTGCCAGCAAGAGGAGCGATGGAAAATGAGATTGGTTTGTGCAGGAAGTCTTCGCTATTTTCCTCTCCGAAGCACCACCAAAATTGGGGAACCACCTTGTTGACCCAATGGTTGCGCACAGTACGGCGGTTGCTATCGAGGCTGTGGATGCAACACCAGTAGTAAAAAGGTTGGAGAGGGTGGTAGAAAACCAAACAAACCCATTGGACTGGTCACATGTGTTCAACGACAAGGACCAATGATGAGCATCTCGGCTAAAGTCTGGACTTTTACACATTTTATGCACTCTGGACGTCAGCTGTCATCTTTGGGCCAAAAGCCTGAAGCCTCCTACCCGTTTCTTCAACCGAAAGGATCCTGCGATGTTTCTGTGACGGTCGTACTTTGCTCAAGGTCGTCAAGCTGTGAGATGCCGAAAAACACATTGTCAACGGCCACGAAGATATCCGAGTATCAACATGTTGAGTACTTATTAGATCATATTAATATTACCTTTTCAAACGAAAATTGAGCGGCCTGGGCACCAGCTTTGCACAGGCACTGTGCACGCAAGTGGAGGTCAGAAGATCGCTGTGTTGGCGCATGTGCCAAAAGCACACTGAGAAGCTTTGAGAAATGCAAGGCAACATTGAAACAATCAGTTCAGATTTTGTCCCAAAGAGATGAACACTTGCTATCGGTGTTAAGATTGTTTAAAGTGATAATTGTTCACACATTTGGGTGTGCCAATGATATTTAGAGACAAGCAACAGATGCAAAAGTATCCTTCAGCCAATCTTTGTGCGACGTTGCTTTCAAGCTGATTGCTGCCATGGAAGTGGCTGAAAATGTCAGTGAAAGCCGAGTGCACTCAGATCTTTGCCTTTGACAACAAGCGAAGCAAGCTACCAACACAAAAGCCGATTTAAAGGCTCCGAAGTCATGTAAGGCAGCAACCAATGGAAGAACTCTTCAGACTCTCTTTCGTGTTCCATCCCTTAATTGTGAACAGTATATGTATATATATATATATAACTGAAACTCATTCCGTCATGATTCATCATACAGCAGGAGGTTTTTTTTTGCCCATGACATCATCATTGTATATATATATATATACAGAAGAATCGTTCTGGCGTGTAGCTGAACCAAGATAGCCGTTTGAGGCCGGACAGAGCCTACGAACGGGGCCAGCGGTCGAAGCCCAAGTCGCACATACCCTTATTGGGTTATTGAACACTACTTGTCCAGTTTCACAAAATGAAGCGGCAGCATTTGAAGGGTGGTAGGTTTTGAGTTTGATTTGTATTGTTGCACGAGAAGTAGTGCTGGGATTGACATCGAACGCAACAACTGCGGGGAACACATTTCAAGGCCAGCCAGAGGATGGTGATGCCGGCAACGGTGGAGGTTTGGCGGGCCGTTTGCCTAGCACTCTGCTGGTGTGTCACGGCTACCAGAAACCATCCAGATTCTTTGCGATATTTGTGGGATTTTGTGGTGGCGGAATGTTGACAAAGGGGTTTTGGCAATCGTGTTTCACTATTTCTCAATTTCATGTTGGGCAAGCTTAATCTACGCCCAGGGGCATGAGAAACCGACTTCCGTGGAATTGAGTCAAGCAGAACCTTTCCACCTCAGCAAGAAAGAGTAAAACCGAATGTTTGGTGCACAAACTAGACTCAATTTTGGACTCATTGACTGTCATGTTGGAGGTGGAGAGGACTCTGGCACTGCTGGTGGCAAGGGGAACAAGAGGAGACCTCTTGATCTGAGTCCAATCTTGCTCTTGGACGCGAAAAGCTGCACGGTCAATCACTGTGGCACACTGTCATTGGCTGGTCAACCACGTTGGATTGCAGCCTGACACGAAACGCCTCTATCGACAGTGTTTCACCCCATCCTTCCTGTCAGATGATGTTGGATTTCTCGTCGAAGCTCTAAACGTCGCTTTTGGGAGTGGGAGCCATAGGAACCGCACCTTTATATGTTTGCCCGGGATGATTGGGACGGCCAGCATTGCTGGAGCTGCTGGAAGGTTGTATTTGTGCTTGTGAAATGTGCATCAGGGCAGACAGGTGCTCCAGAATCCTTCTGTCTGACGGTCGTGATGCCTTTAGTAGCTGGGGAGCGGGCTAAAAAAGTAGCTTTATTGTTTCTAGTAGTAAGGCCAGGAGCCCCTAGTAGCATCCTTGCTCCTAGTAGCGATGCCCTTTGCTCCCAGTAACGTGAAAGTTTGTGACTTTGCTTGAGTCCAGTCGCCAAATCACAACACGTCATGGTTTTTCCATGCCAGGCCTGCTGATTGAGATTGCTGCTCACAAGAAGTGATTGTAGAGGGGGTACAGAGACCATCAGCCCAACAGCACAGGGTTGTGAAACTCGACAAGTGCACAGTTGCATTATCATGGAGTTGTTTGGGTAAGAGGGGGCCTCAAGTTGCTTCTTGGATGACTTATTGTGGCAATGACTGAACAGGCAACCATCCAACTGTGTGTTGCGCTGTGCTGCGTTGCGCAGCGTTGCGCTGGGATGCGCTTTGTTGTGCTTTTGGCTTCGTGTGTGAGTTTGGCAATGCACTTGGTTTCTTGATCTTCATGCACATTGGGGCATTGCCAATAGTAAGCGTGCAGGAGAAGAAAAGGCCTTCCACTTGGCATGCAAGCAGCGATGATGTTTCGAGCACTTGTTGCGGCAATATTGCACACACACATATATATATAATCATATATATACACATATAGGTTGTATACAATTTCCGAAAGGACAGACTCTTCTGGACCTTCAGAGATTAGCAGAGACCTCCAAGTTGCGAAATTGTTATCCAACGGCTACCCCTTGGCTTCACAGCTTTAGGGTTTTGAAGCTCCATACTTACAGCTGAGCTAGGTGGTGATAGCGAGAAGCAGTACGATCTAGCACGGGCGCCCAGTACTGTATTTTTCAGAACCTGGAAGTGCCACACCACCAGGAGACTTTTACAGTATGATGGGATGTACTTTGTACACTCCAGTCTAGTAGGACTATGACTCAGTATGAACGGGAATTCCAAGAGTCTCTCCAATTATTCTACAGCTTCGCAAACCGGTGGTTCCATAAGGGTTGTTGTCGCTGTCCCAGTTGTTGTTGTTGTTGCTGCTGCTGCTGTTGTTGATCATTGGTCTTGTTGCCCTGCGCCAAAAAGGCCTCTTCTAGGGCAGGGTTTTGCGCAGGCGATGAAACTCTGCAAAAGACACGGTATTCACTAGTTGTTTTTGCATTAGGGACCAAAAAACACGGTAAATAGCGATGTTCTTGATCCTTAGCAAGCAAAACACGTAGTATTTACGACATTTTTTGACTCCGTTGGATGCAAATATCACGGTTCTGACAGTGTTTCTTCTATGTTTGCTGCCAGAAACATCGATATTTATGTGGTTTTTAGCATGTTGCTATCAGTGCTATTTTCATTCAACAACAGTAAACACACTGTAAGTGTTTTTGTTATTTGAACGTCGCACACTTTGATCCAACATTGATAAACATGATCCAAAATCGAGCTCCGGAAGCAGCTCAAAGTAGCTTGTGAGGCTGCAAGGACTGGGTGTTCCATGATTTTGATCATCGCCCCGAATGCTTTGCTGCTGGCTTGCTGCTGCTGGCTTGCTGGTGTGCTCAAAACTTCTTGCTCAGTGCCAAACGTCGCTCTCGAAGACCTCAGACCTGTCTCTACTATAGCCCTTAGCAGTCCGTTCGGAACGCCTCCGCCACGCTATCACGCTATCGGACAATTGAAAGGAAGAAATTAAATTCAACGTGAAAAATGCTTTCTAAACCCCGCCACTCAGTGCCAAATGTCCAAATAAATGGAACACTAAGACCGACCGCGGAAGCAAAACTCCTGCTGACAGCCACACAAAGGTACTACCCAATGACATTCTCCTCTGAAAATGGTCCCCAAGACCTTTGGCTCACTGCCAAAGGTCGCTTTCTGACGCCAGTATCAGTAAAACCGAGACTGCCTGCCAGCCTGAAAACTGTTTCCTGCATCCCTTCAACGGCCCTCTCAACCCCGGTGTCGCTACAGTATTAGACCCAATGTAATTCCATTCAGAAAAGGCCACCGAAGCCGCTCGCTCGTGCCAAACGTCGCTTTTTGTCTACTTCCAAGGCTCTGCAACCTGCCTCTCGCAAGCTTCAGACCTGTCTCCAGCCCTTCGGTGATCAGACCTGTCTCTCGCCCTTCGGTAGTTCTCTGACGCGCCCCCCCTGCCGGGGTCGGCGGATAGAAGAGTTTTCCTTCAATGAGTGTGGCTGCAAGACAAGATTGGTGAGACCCAGAGCAGAACGCAGAATGTTCGATTGCGCAGATAAAATGCTGTCACACTTGCTACAAAACAAGCTCGGACCAACTCTCGATATGGACACCTTGAACTAGCTTCAAGAAGACCATTCTGTGTGCCCTGGGTTTGTTTGCACTTGAAAGCCCCAGTGCTCCATGCTAGGTGGGGACCATTCGAATGTTCAACGCAGACAAAGGCCGAAACAGAGCTGGAGAAGACCTCACTGAATGCGCATTGTTTTTGTATTGGAAAGAAGGTGTATGCCAAAGAGGTTGGAGTCAAATCGTACAGGCTCTTGATTCGATCCGTTAGAGACAAACTTTCTTGTTTATATTTGTTTGTTCGGGGTGTATCAACGATCCTGCAGGCTGGGGCTTCATAGACGGTGATGCTGGCTGCAAGGACATTTTCTTGTGCCTTTGATGAGTGAAGCAATAGACAAAGAGCGAAGAACAACACTTGGAATGAGAGAAAACTAATTCGAGCATACTGTGCTGCTGGTGG